AACTTAGTTTTGAATGAAAATTTTATTCTTTATATATGTCATTATATTTATATATTATCATGAATCTAACCATGTGGGGTAATTGGGGATGGGGGAACTAACCATGTGATTTCGTAGTGGAAAATATATACACTTTTAACATATATTTCCTCCCCCCTTTTCGCGGGAGTTATTGACGGTGTCTTAATGGGGAAATAAAATCATCACAAAATGTAAGAATCTGTCTCCATGTATAAATTAATGTGGGTTAAACCTATCAGTCAACAACAAATTATTTTAATAAAAGAGTATAGGTAAAACTACTTAACTAAAATATCATTATTTTAATGAAGAATAAGGGTAAATTAAATCATTGAATAACATAAAAAAATATAATTAGCTCATTGAAGAAGTCCGGCTAAGACAATTGATGACCAAGTGTTGTGTCGGTTTACAATAATTATTAAAATATCACCATATATTTTTCTCTTTTTTTTTCCTTGCTTTAAAATCGTTAGTCATTTTAAATTTACACCTATTATTAGTTTGCATTTTTTTTTTAAAAAACATTATTTTTATATTATCCCCTCTCTCTCATATATATATATATATATATATATATATATATATATATATATATATAATTAAGTTCCAGTGCATCTAAGTGTTTCTGTACGGTTGTGCAGTTTTAACGTGCGTCAGTTTTGTACATTAAGTGCATGAGTCATGTGCTTAATGTGCGTGAGGTTTGTGCTTAATGTGCATGGGTCTGTGTTTAGTGTGAGTTGTTGAAAACTTAAGTGAGTGAGTTTTGTGCTTAAGTGCGTGAGTTTTGTGCTTAACATGTGTGAGTTTTGTGCTTAACGTGCGTGAGTTTATGCTTAATGTGAGTAGTTGTTGAAACTTAAAAGGTGTCTGAGTTCTGTGCTTAATGTGCATGCGGCTTGTGCTTAACATGCGTGAGTTTTGTGCTTAACGTGCGTGAGTTTGTGTTCTGAAGGTGTTTTATTTGTGTGCTTAATGTTGCGTGTGTTGTGTACTTAAAGTGCATCAGTTAATGTTTAATGTGCGACTAAACGCACGGGAAGCTCCTCCCGCACCTGACCCTTTCCATATATATATATATATATATATATATATATATATATATATATATATATATATATATATATATATATATATATATATATATATATAGAATAAAATTCAAATGCGGCGGGGTCTTCCCGTGCGGCGGTGCGGCGGAATTCCAGAATATACCAACAGTGTTAACAATATGCACCAACAGTGTAATAAAAGCACACCACAATGAAATGTAATAAAACATCACAAAATACACAACAGACTCAAAAAAATACACCATACAACTCACCACCCCCAATGGTGTATTTCCGAACAGTGTATGGTGTTTTTACTTACACCTAATGGTGTGTGTTTGGTGATGCAGGGCTCTGTTTACTCTGTTTTGTATGTTGTATTTTCCTAACGTTGATGATGCATATTTGTTGAACTATTGGTGTTGCCGCACCGTAAGAAATCGCCGCACCATAAGAAATCGCCACACCTGAACCCGCATATATATATATATATATATATATATATATATATATATATATATATATATATATATATATATATAACACCGAAATAGCCAGCCAGGTCTGAGTAACCTGCTATGAAAAGATCTATTTGCACGCAAATTTTAGTGAATTGCATGTGAAGTAGTGCAGGGAGGAATACATTGCAGATATGGTAGATTTGATATATCCAATAGTTGGTATTAAAAAATAAAAATTAATTAAGAAATGCCATACAATTTTTGTATACTGTTTGGTTATTAATATTGAGTAGTAAAAATATTTATTATTATAAATAAAATTAATATTTTTATAAGTTCATAAAATACAATTATTATATTATTTATAAAATATTATTAATTTTTCATTAATAATAATTGGCATCTTTATTGTTCAATATTATAAAGTTTGGTGGTCATATATTATCCCATATCTTCCATATACGGTCAAAATCACTGCCATAATTGGGTCACCTGTGAATACCAATAAGAGGATAAGTCAAATATTGGATATCATACTGCAACGTACAGAAAAACATGCATCATCAAATTGACCCTAAATTTATTGTTTTGTTTATTTTAAATTATATATCCTTATAATAAAAATAATAATAATAATAATAATATAATAATAATAATAATAATCACTACTGTAAATTATGAAATTTCCGACCACCTGAAAGTGATCTTAAATCAAGTTGAAACAAAAAAGTGGTCGAAAATAGAACAAAGGTTTTTCGGATACCAAAAGTGGTCGGAACAAGGCTTTTGACTTGATTTAAGATCACTTTCAGGTGGTCGGAAATTTCATAATTTCCAGTAGTGAATAATAATAATAATAATAATAATAATAATAATAATAATAATAATAATAATAATAATAATTATAATTATAATAATAATAATAATAATAATTAAACATAATAATTCCCGACTCGTTTCCGCCGCTGTGCAATCCATTTTTGTTGATTAGTGCTTTTATTTATTTATTTATTTTGAATAGTGATAAATTATATTATTATTTCAAAAAAAAATATTATTTCAAAGAATACAAGGATACATGTTATATATCCCGGTCCAGAGAATACACATTTTTTATATGATTACATAATATATAGCTATTTTATTTTTCAAAAGTATATTTTTTATATGATTATATAATATATAGCTATTTTATTTTTTAAATGTTGTGTTTTTTTTTTTTTTTTTTTTAATAAAGGATGTTGTGGCATTAATTGTAACATTAATTATTTCTCAAACCATATAGCTTTATTATATAAAGGATATTTCCTAGTTTATTACTTGGGCTATTGCTTATCATTTGACATACCATTTTGGGCTAGTATCTCGAGTTTTGACATACCATTTTGGGCATAGCGCCCTGAACAATAATACCACTACTTTCCTACTCCCGTTCTGTACTTCCATACCCGATTTATGGTAGACCTAGTCCCATTATGACCATCACACACATATTGCTATATATACTTAAATAATATATGTATTATATACACATATGATTTAACATAATTCACTTATCAAATACTAAATGTTATTAGTTGATTAAACCAACGAACATAATGGGATCAATTGCCCCCACCTTCCCTCAAGCCCCATTATATATGTGTGTAATGCGCACGTGCACACACGTTTGTGTACGTATAAATATACCGTAGATATTTTACTAGAAGTATATAATATCTAAAAACATAATATGTGCCAATAAAGTTATGTCCTTTATTTTTGTTCATTTATAGTGTACTAATAAAGGTATACATTTTATATTCATATTCTCCTGATTAGCGAGTTATGTTAGTTGGTTTAATCAATTTGTAAGTGTTTGATAAAATTAATTGTTAATTTTAACTAATAACATATAAAGTGACTTTTGAGGATATCATTTTATTTTATAACAATATTAATTATTAATAATTAGGTATACATAAAAATATCTTTTAATAATTATTTTTATAATAATAAAGATAAAAAATTATAAAATTATAAAATATTAATTTTCACTATTTTTGTATAAACAAATACATTAAAATAAAATAAAAATATGTGTGTTAAAATAGAAAATTCATAAAATAAGGGAAAAAGATCTTTCAATTTTATAAGAAGGGGTAAATGTATTAAAAATATTTGATAATTTATTCTAAAAGAGTCAAACAGAAAAGCTATTTTAGTAATTTTTTAAAAAGAAAAAATTTTACTTTTGATCCTATAACTATTGATGTATTGTTAATAATAAAAAATGTAAAAATGAAAATTCATCATAGAATTACAATTTAATACGGAGTAATTGAAAAAATTTAGTAGGAATAGAATTATAATTAGATCCTACCAAACATCCTTAAAGTCAATCAAAAGTTAAAAACCTTGGGAGAAGAAAAGTTAAAAACCATTTCAAAAGAACATTTACGAAATAATGCAAAAGTCCTAACTTTGTAAAACTAAAAATGGTAAAATTTCCAACAAATTGTAAAAAGGAAAAGTAAGCTGAAAACTTTATGTGGAAATGGAAAGGAGTGTGGAGGTGGATAAGGGATTTCGTAAATTGGGTGTAAAAATACAAAAAACATAAAAAAAAGAAAAAAAGAAAAGAAAAGAAAAAGCTGCCAATAATGCTGAAGTTGTATGTAGGGCTGTTAACGAACCGAACATAAACGAACGGAGGTTGTTCGTGTTCGTTTGTTAAGGAATTTAGAGTGTTCGTGTTCGTGTTCGTTTGTTAAGGTTTTTGAAAATCCTGTTTGTGTTCGTTTGTTAAGCGTTCGTTAGTGTTTGTTAACGTTCGCGAACATGTTCACGAACGTGTTCGTTAACGTTAACGAACATGTTCGCGAACGTGTTTGTTAACGTTCGTGAACACGTTCGCAAACGTGTTCGTTAACGTTAACAAACACGTTCACAAACATGTTCTTTAACAAGCACGTTCACGAACATATTCATTTACGTTCATGAATACTTAATAAAAAAACACTTGCACATGTTCATGATCACAATTCGTTCGTGAACAATAAATAATATACGTTCACGAACAATAATCAAACAAACAACACAACTACAAAACTAATATAATATAATATAATATATGTTTGTGAACATGTTCACGAACATTATTAAACGAACACAAACGAGCTTGTTCACGAACATTATTAAACGAACATAAACGAGCGTGTTCACAAACATTAGTAAATGAACACAAACGAACTTGTTCACGATCTCTTAGCAAACGAGCTTACAACTGTTCAAGCTCTGTTCGTTTATTAACCGAGCTCTAAATTTTGTTTGTTAATGTTCATTTACCTTAACAAACGAACATAAACGAACGCTTACCGAACACGAACACGAGTAGTTTGCGAAAGCTCTGTTCGCTAACAACCCTAGTTGTATGCACTATGCAGTGTATTGTGCAACTGTTTACTGCTCTCCTTTGTAGCATTGTGCCAGCGGTTCTCTTGCTTTTGTAGATTTGGAGTTGGTGGGCCAACCCTTCATTGGCCTTCAAATACATTATTGCTCCACTCAAAATCCAATCTTCTTTCCTGGGCAGCCTAAAGATTAGGTTGCTCTTCTGATCTCAAACCTTCTTGAGAGAGAAAGAGAGAGAGAGAGAGTCATGGCTGAGAAGCCTGAAGTTCTTGATGCTGTGTTGAAGGAAACTGTGGATTTGGTAATGGATCTGGGTTGTAAAATGGAGTGTTTTGTTGGTTTTCTTGCTTGGGTGTGAGTTCCATTTTGTTTTTAACACTCTTTTCCTTTAATTTTGTTTGGTTTTAGGAAAACATACCCATTGAAGAAGTGTTTGAGAATCTGAGATGCACTAAAGATGGCCTTACTAGTCAGGCTGCCCAAGAGAGGTTGGACATTTTTGGGCATAATAAGCTCGAGGAGAAGAAGGTGCTATTTTTTTTTTTAATTTTTTTTTATCATCATTGATCACTGAAATTTAGTCCTCATTTGGAATTTTTAGCTTTAGAAATGCAGTTTTTTATGCAAAATTTCCATGGTTTTATGTTTGTTTTTTTTAAAAAAATATTTTTTTAGACCGTTAGCTGCAAGAAATAATGACTGTTCATCGTTTGCCGTTTAGTGTTTAATTCACAGCCTCTGTACTTCTTTGATGTTGGTTTAAATTGAACAATTTTCAGTACCAAAGTCTGATATTTTACAACTTTGCTACTTTCATCTCGAAACAAAGAAGTTTCTGATTACTGAGAAAAAATGTGTGAATTTAACTGTTGTGATGGTTTGGTGTGTGATAGGAAAGCAAGTTCCTGAAGTTCTTGGGGTTTATGTGGAATCCGCTCTCATGGGTTATGGAGGCTGCAGCCATAATGGCCATTGCTCTTGCAAACGGAGGAGTAAGGCTCATGTTTAGATTCAGTTCAATTTTGTTTTCTGTGCTGCTGGGTTGCTTTGGATTCACTTGATGATGATGCCTTGAAATTTACAGGGAAAGCCCCCGGATTGGCAGGACTTTGTGGGTATCATTACTTTGCTTGTCATAAACTCCACTATCAGTTTCATTGAGGAGAACAATGCGGGTAATGCTGCAGCAGCTCTCATGGCTCGCCTCGCTCCAAAGGCCAAGGTGATGGGCATAAATCTTGATTTTCAGTTTGTGGCTTAGTCTTGGTTTAGTATTTGAGCTCGTAATTTTGATGACTAATGGGATGTTTCCCTTGGCTTTTCGGGTTACTGACTGTTTTTGTACTTTTGTTGAAGGTCCTTCGAGATGGAAGATGGAGTGAGGAAGATGCTTCTATTTTGGTACCTGGTGACATTATCAGTGTCAAACTTGGAGATATAATTCCTGCAGATGCTCGTCTACTTGATGGCGATCCATTGAAAATTGATCAGGTGATAATACTTTTATGATGTGTGCTTGATGTTTCACACTCCATTCAATTTGTTGTCTATATATATATATATATATATATATATATATATATATATATATATATATATATATAGGGGCAGACCATACAGGTCTTCCCGTAAAAAGTGAGGACTGATCTCAACCGTCCATCAAGGTTTATCAATGGTGGAGGGTTTAAGAAAACACGGGTTAATTTTATAATTATTGAAAACTTTTAAGAGTGGATTTCATTTTATAATTATTACAAACTTGAAAGTTTAGTAATGTTAAGATCCTAGCCTTTGATTTTTCAAGATGGAGGGTGGGGATGCGTTCACACTTTTTACATGGGATGTGTTCTCACCTGAACCCTCCCCTATATATATATATATATATATATATATATATATATATATTTGTTATTTGAAATTGAAATTATGAATATATAGATGTTAAATTGTACTATACAAATGATGAACTCTGCTTATGTTAGTTACATCTGAAACTTGCAGTCCGCTTTGACCGGTGAATCTCTTCCTGTAACTAAGGGTCCTGGAGATGGTATATACTCTGGTTCTACTTGTAAACAGGGAGAGATAGAAGCTGTGGTCATTGCCACAGGGGTTCATACCTTTTTTGGAAAGGCTGCACACCTTGTTGACTCTACTAACCAAGTCGGTCACTTCCAAAAGGTGAGTATACTGACTTAATTATATTTGTACACATATGTAATGTGCTCATATTTTTCCAAATATAAACGTACTAAAATATCATGTTTGCTCTTTTGATCAGGTTTTGACTGCAATTGGAAACTTTTGCATTTGCTCTATCGCTGTGGGCATGGTTATAGAGATCGTTGTCATGTATCCTATTCAACATCGGGAGTACCGTCCTGGAATTGACAATCTTCTTGTACTTCTTATCGGTGGAATTCCGATTGCCATGCCAACTGTCCTCTCAGTTACAATGGCAATTGGTTCCCATCGTCTTGCTCAACAGGTTCGTTACTTTCCTTGGCTGATGTGATTCTAGTGGTTCAGTACTGTGCAACATGGTTGAAAAAATCGCTAGGTGCTCCTTGGGCGCTCGGGGCGCCTAAGAGGCGATTAATTGGCGCCTGGGTATTTTTTTATTAATTTTATTTTTAAAAAAATTTGTTTAATTTTTTTTTAATTTTTTAAGATTTGATAATTATAAACTATTTAATACTTTAATAGTTAATACTAAAATATTAAATATTAACCTAAATAACATCAGAGTTTGAACAATTTAGGGTTATTTCGCTCAAAACTATGTGGTTTTGAGTGAAATAGTTCATTTAAAAAAAGGAGGGAACAATAGCTAATAGGCCGACTAGGTGACCTAGGAGGTCTAGGCGGCGCTTAGGCGGCCTAGTCGGCCGCCTAGACCACCGATTATGGTGATACGTTAGGCGGCCGGCCAGCGCCCTAGGTGCCGATTAATCGGTGCCTAGGCGGGATTTTTGCAACACTGCTGTGCAGTATTTCATTATGAAAACTCTTGCAGGGAGCTATTACGAAGAGAATGACAGCTATTGAGGAGATGGCTGGAATGGACGTGCTTTGTAGTGACAAGACAGGAACTCTGACCTTGAACAAGCTCACTGTTGACAAGAATCTTATTGAGGTGAGAATGGGATTAAGGAATAATTGTGATTGTGGTTTGGACACCTTTACGAAGCAAATTATAATTATTCATATCCTTTTTTCAGATCTTTGCCAAAGGAGTCGATCCAGATACTGTTGTTCTAATGGCAGCCCGTGCCTCTCGAACAGAAAACCAAGATGCAATCGATGGTGCTATTGTTAATATGCTGGCTGATCCAAAGGAGGTAAATTCGGTCCCTTCTAGGACAAGCTACCCGCTTTTTCCCTTATTGCTGCTATATTGGCTTAAACGTTATTATGAATAGGCACGTGCTGGTATTCAAGAACTCCACTTCCTTCCTTTCAACCCCACCGACAAGCGGACAGCACTTACATATCTCGATGGTCAAGGAAAAATGCACAGGGTCAGTAAAGGTGCACCGGAGCAGGTATAATTCTCGATTGCTCTTTGATACGTTCAACTGTGCTAGTTCGTAATCTAATTACTGCCCATGCTATGGATTCTAGATTTTAAATCTCGTGCACAACAAGTCAGAAATAGAGCGCAGGGTTCATGCTGTGATCGATAAGTTTGCAGAGCGTGGGCTACGGTCTCTTGGTGTAGCTTATCAGGTGACCCTTTCAACTTCAGTGTTCTGGTTTCCATATTTACAAAAACTGAACATAACTAACTTGTTTCTCCGTTCATTTAATTAAGTATTCTCTAATGTATTGAGCAGGAAGTTCCAGATGGAAGGAAAGAGAGTGCGGGGGGACCCTGGCAATTCATTGGTCTTATGCCTTTGTTTGATCCTCCTCGGCATGACAGTGCAGAGACCATTAGGAGGGCTCTAAATCTTGGAGTAAATGTTAAAATGATTACCGGTGAGTTGTGATTACTAATCTTAGCCTCTTAGGTGTCAAAATCTGGCACATGCTAATAGGTGGCAAATGATGATTTTCACTGTGCTCACTCTCTAAATGCTTGAATGTTTAACAGGGGATCAACTGGCTATTGGTAAAGAAACTGGGCGGCGTTTGGGAATGGGAACAAATATGTATCCTTCATCAGCTTTGTTGGGACAGGATAAGGATGAATCCATTGCTGCTTTACCGGTTGATGAACTTATTGAGAAGGCTGATGGTTTTGCCGGTGTTTTCCCAGGTATGTTTTCTCTTAACATGTTTGCAAATGATACTTCTCTTTTTAATAGGTAACCCGTAAACTACCTGGTATGATGTAGTCTGTACTGATTTATTTGCCTTGTTCGTTAGAGCACAAATATGAGATCGTGAAGCGCTTACAAGCAAGAAAACACATCTGTGGAATGACTGGTGATGGTGTGAATGATGCTCCGGCTTTGAAGAAGGCCGATATAGGAATCGCTGTTGCTGATGCCACTGATGCGGCCCGCAGTGCTTCTGATATCGTTCTTACTGAACCCGGTCTCAGTGTCATAATCAGTGCTGTTTTGACCAGTCGAGCTATCTTTCAGAGAATGAAAAACTACACGGTTAGTTAACTCATGATTTATCAACTATTCTACATAAAAGTGATTTCTTTAACCTTTCCATTTTGAGGGTTATGATAATCTCAATTTGCCACATGCCTTCTGTGCTTGATTCTGGTGTCTTAATCATTTATCGTTTTTTTCTTTTTGGGCAGATTTATGCAGTTTCTATCACAATTCGTATAGTGGTATGTAGTGTTTGGCCTCTTTCTCATTTCTTTAATCTGTTTCTTACCTATCTTACTCTCCCCCAAGGAGTGAAAGTTATATGTAAACATGTCTCGTATCATATTCTGATTATTTGCATTTTTAACTTGTAACAGCTTGGCTTCATGCTGCTGGCCCTGATTTGGAATTTTGATTTTCCGCCTTTCATGGTGCTTATCATTGCAATTCTGAACGATGGTTAGCTCACCCTTACTCTTCCCATTTATCTCATAACGACAAATAGACAAAGCATAAAATACTAGGGATATGTCTGCATATTTGTTTGTAGAAAGAGTTAATACCCAATTTAGTCATCGACTACAGTGATTTTTCTTGATTTAGTCTTAAATGTCTTTTTGTGCTTAATTGGGTCTTCGATTTCCATGGTTTACCCTAATTGAGTCCTTGGCGGTTAGAATCAAGGATTAAATTGAGAAAAACTACTATAGTCGATGACTAAATTGGGTATTAACCACTATAATCGAAGATTAATTTGAGTAAAACCATTATAGTCGAAGACTAAATTCCATGGTCTACTAGCATTGACTTGCGTGGTTGAAATTCATGATATACCATGTTAGGCACTTAGATCTCGAGTGATATCATTTGCACTATCTTTTTGACGTCTATTGCATTTATCATTTTAGGTACCATTATGACTATTTCCAAAGATAGGGTGAAACCGTCTCCGCTTCCCGACAGTTGGAAGCTTGCTGAGATATTTGCTACTGGAATTATTCTTGGCGGTTACTTGGCAATGATGACAGTCATATTTTTTTGGGCAGCCTACAAAACGGACTTTTTCCCGGTGAGTGAATCTGTTTATCCATTTAATATTCTCTTGATTTTGCAAGCCTAATCTACTTTTAAGTATTACTAATTTTTTTTCCTTAATTATTACTTGCTTCTGCGTTCTATTCTATATTTTCATTTATCCCAAAACAAAAAGGTAATAGAAAAAAGTGTTAAAAGTTTCTCTACACTTCCCCCTTTAATCTTTGTGAATTTCTAAATTAAAATAACAAACTAAGAGTGATTCTCCTGTGAGATCGTCTTACGGATCCTTATCTGTGAGATAGGTCAGGTCAAGATGGAAATGTAATACTTATACTGAAATATGTAATACTAATAATGACCCGACCTGTCTCACAAACAAGGATTCGTGAGATGGTCTCACACAAGTTTTTGCCAAAAACTAATTATTTGCTCGAGTTTCCAGAGACACTTTGGTGTATCTACACTTGAGAAGACGGCCCATGATGACTTCAGGAAGCTTGCATCTGCGATCTACCTTCAAGTGAGCACTATCAGCCAGGCCCTGATATTTGTCACGAGATCGCGTAGTTGGTCATTTGTTGAGCGTCCCGGGGTGTTTCTTATGGTTGCTTTTGTGATTGCTCAACTGGTAAGAGCTATATATCTTTCTTTTGTGTGTAAGATTCTGACTTCCCGTTGATTCTAGCATATTATGAACACCCCGAAATTTTGGTGCTTTGTGATGGATGACAGGTTGCGACCCTTATTGCTGTGTATGCAAATTGGAGTTTCGCGGCTATTGAAGGAATAGGCTGGGGATGGGCTGGTGTTATCTGGCTTTATAATCTCGTGTGCTATTTCCCGCTTGATTTGATAAAGTTCTTCACCCGCTATGCTCTTAGTGGCAAGGCCTGGGATTTGGTTCTTGAACAAAGGGTACGAGTCAATAGTCCTGCTGAAAAAAAAAATGAAATTTTACACATTTATCACTTGCGGAATTCATTATATGGTGGTGTTTTTGTTTCCCAGATTGCTTTTACCCGGAAGAAAGACTTTGGTAAAGAACAACGTGAACTACAATGGGCGCATGCACAGAGAACTCTTCACGGGCTCCAAGTTCCAGACACCAAACTGTTCAGCGAAGCAACCAACTTCAACGACCTTAATCAGCTGGCCGAGGAAGCAAAGAGGAGAGCTGAAATTGCGAGGTGCCTCCGATATCTAAGAGCTACCAATCGGTTATGATTTAGCGAGTGAATTGAGTATATAATATTCGTTTTGGGCGGAGGCCGGTAAGGGCCAAGTCCAACACCATGTCGCTAGGGGATTGTTCGAGGGCCAGTCCAGTACCTTGCCTCTCGAAAATGTGATGGCGGGTCTATAAGGAAATAAAGTTACGCCTTTACTACTGGCTATAACTCTTGGCCTAGTGGTAAGCGCTTGATCCTAACAGTTTGAATTGTTTAGGTTGCGGGAGTTGCATACACTGAAGGGCCACGTGGAATCGGTGGTGAAATTGAAAGGTCTCGACATAGAGACGATTCAGCAAGCGTACACTGTTTGAGGAGGAGGAGGGCGAAGATGTAGTCGATTTGACGGGAGCGGTTTAACTGGGGTAGTGCAGTGCTTGGCATGGTAAAAATAATCTCACTACTACTACCCTACCATCAGTTGTTTTGCCTTGATGAGGAAAGCCTTCTTACTGGGGGTGGGCTATGTTTTTGGCCTTACAGAGGTTGTGCATTTATTAGATCATTTATGTTCCTTCATTTTCCTTTTCAATTTCTCAAATACTTGTGCTGAAAAGGGAAACAAATGACGTTATTATATTTATACCCAAGTTTATATTGTCAATATATTCCTTCCTAGTTCCTAATCTCCACATTATTATTGTATTCTTCTCTTATATTGGCTATGTTTGGCAAACGGCAAACCTAGTTGAAAAGCTAGCTGAAAGCTGAAAAGTAGCTTATAAGCATAGTTGAAAAGCTATAGGGCATGTTTGGAATTTGGATTGCCATAATCCGCTGCTGCAAAATTCAGACCCATCCTTTCAATTGTTTCTTCCACATCCATTGCACTGCAAATGACATAGATAAGCAGCCTTCTTTTGCGGAAAATTATATTGCAGACCATGAATGAATGTTTATTTTCAATATACTGAATGTTCATTATTTATGTACTGAATGTTCATTATTTGGTAGTAAACAAATAATGAGCCTTCGAAGAATGAACATTCAATGTTTTAAAAATAAACCTTTATTATATTAAAAATGTACCTTATGTAAGTAGTCTACTTTGCAAGGTGAATCATAGTTCATGGTATAATGATTGTTCTTTTGCGAAGAAGACACTCTAGATATATGAAGTGCCTTGTTTGCGGGCTTCGTCTCCATATCTGAGACGACCTTCTTAATAATGACTTGTTTCCGCAACGAAATGACAACGCGATGCCCAGTATGCTAAGTCTAATCCCGTTCGTGTTGGAAGAGTTCATGGATTTGACTTGAACTTGAAACCTCTAGTTAAGTTAGAAAAGACTCACGATATTTCATTCACATCTCATGATTGCATGCTTTCCTAAGTTAATGCTCTATTTGTGTACATTTACTGCTTACTACTATATCTTTTACACTTATGTGTACTAGTGATTAGATATTTATAATGTTTAGTGTTGTGTCTGGTGTTGAACTAGTAGTTTCTTCTGTTGGTGGGATTGAGCTATAATGAAACTAGTGTCCCACCCAAAAGAGGTGTCTACAATTCAGCGATGGGATTAGTCACTGTGTCTGACGGTGGAACCCTCGGTATACCCAATAAAATAATGAAACTAGTGTTATGAATAGTTTGAAGACTTCCCTAATAGTGAAGTTGAAGGCAAAGATACAAGTAAAGATAAAGGCTATTAGCCCTCCACAAATCTTGTTAGGCCGGGCTATGGGGTCCTGATTGAGATGAGAAATTTCGTCTTTTGTGGATAATATGCAACTGAATTTGAGATAGGTGTTGAAACCGTAGTGATTGCATGTGCTTCATCTAATGGTAGTGAAAATGTAAGAAGGGAACATCATGGCATACAACAAGGAGTGTCTAATGAAGGCAATGATTCAGGAAGTATTAGTGAGGGTAGGACAAGTCACATGTGGCTATAGGATAAACACCAATTTGAGTGGTCAAGATAACATTTTTCCACTCGTGCTCAATTTGACATGTTGATGAATAACATTTATCAACATTTGAGTGTACAATATGTCAATATATTGATTTCTTTGTTTCATTTAAGAGAACCTTAGGGGTTGTTTACCAAAATGGAGAAATGGAAAATTTTTCAAAAAAGTAGAAAATTGGAGAGGTAGAAAAATGGAAAATGAAAAAGTTGTTTACTAAATTTCTTTCTCCAAATCTTATTTCCATCTCCTTTCTCCACCTTTCTTAAGTAATTTGGAGAAAGGAAAAACTGATGTCTCCAAATGGAGAGATGGAGTGATGCGCGTGAACAGTGTAAACTGTCCGTGATTCCCAGCAGTAGCGTTGTATGCCTTCTTTTTCCCTTTCTTTAATTCTTTCCCCTCCCCAGCGCACAACCCCTTCTTTTTCCTTTTCTTTTGCTCTTTCCCCTACCCAGTGAATAACATTATTATTATTATTATTATTATTATTATTATTATTATTATTATTATTATCATTATCATTATTATTCCTTTAATTACTATTGTTACTTATTATTATTATTATTATTATTATTATTATTATTATTATTATTATTATATTAAATTTTATTATTATGTACTCAAACTATGTACTAAATTATTGAAATAGTTACAGACCTAAAAAAAAAAAATAGTTGTAATTTATTTAGTAATTTGTTTTTATCGACTTTTGTTACATTTTGTACATTTAGTATTAGTGTATTTGAATTTTTTATCTAAAAATTAAATTTGTAAAATGAAATTATTATTATTATTATTATTATTATTATTATTATTATTATTATTACTTGTGCTCGGTATTATGAAATTTGTAAATGAAATAAGAAAATTGGAGAAATGAAAAAATGGAGAAATGGAGATGAAACACTGGAGAAATGGAGATGGAAAACTGGAAAAATGAATAAATGGAAAACTGGGAAAAGAAAAACAGAGAAATGAAGTAAACGACCCCTTAATGCACCTGATCTAAATTAAAAATGAATCCTACATATATTTGTACCATAAAAAATAGAGTTTATTTATTCAGAAAGTTTGTGAAATTGCATTGTACAAAATGCAAGAAGGTTGTAACAATAGGAGGTGTATGGAGGGATCGGAGTTAGCACTATGGGAAATGTATTAACATGTAATCATTTTTTGTTCATTATAAACAATTGTTTTTATATGGTAGAAGTGTAGAACTTGGAACAAGAGCAACTATATGCAAATAACTCCTATTTATAAACTTGTAATGTAAGCATCATTTATATATATTTCTTGCTTACAAAAGACGAAATTCTCTTATCCCCACAGGATAGTGAAACTCCTATATTGTGACTATTCATAATCTATTACTCAAGAACCAATTGAGCTGACAATGCGAGCATTATCTGTTACACCAAAGGTTTGCTAGAATCTAGTTTGTGTGATGTAACTTTATCTTTATTATCCACATTTTCTTGTGTCCCTTTGTACTTGTACCATTTAGCGCAAAGCATAAAATACCCCAAATTCACCACCTCCAAAGCGGCAACCATGTAATAATAGTAATCAAGTCTCCCCTTGTTAAGATCCTGGGCCAACCAGCTCTCCCCGTCCGGCTTCCTAGTCGCACCATCCACAACTGAGATCAAGAAGCTGCTGAGGTAACTGGCAATGGCGAAGCCGCAGAATAGGCAAGAACCGGCGAAGCTCCGCATGTTCTCCGGGAATTGCTTGTAGAAGAGCTCGATTTGGCCGATGACGGCGAAGGCCTCCGACAACCCCGCTAGTACCAGCTGAGGTATTAGCCAGTTCCCCGACAGAGACGAAATCGCACCTGTTCGAAATTACAATTAGAGATTTTTATGAAATAGAATTTATTTTGTTTAGCTTTTTACTGAGGATTAGATACTGGTTTAAATGCGGACAATGTTTTCTGTGCAGTTGCTGTGGATTCACTATTAGATATGTATAAATACACCACATAATGTGCGAAAATACACCAATATATCATAATAGCGAGTGACCGTATGGAAAACACTGTTGCACCCGAACTTGACCCTAGTGAATATATTCTTATATTTAGTTGTTATAGTAAACTTATAAATAAAGGCTTTTCATTATTAATCATATTAGTCATATAAATTTTCTTAGTTTTAGGTTAATTCCTATCATTAGCCACAGTTCGGACCCTATTTAAATTTTAATACCTTTTCTGGGTTCGATTCCCAGCGTGGGACGGGTGAGGGCCACAGTCCGCCTCCGGGTTTCCACGGCGGCGGCCACCAGCATGGTGAAAACGCCGAGGAACAAGCCGGCGCCGATTCTCTGCAGGAGGGTGATGCCGGCTTCTGTTTTCGTGAGTCTCCGGAGGATGGGTACGAGGATCCTGTCGTAGACGGGGATCCAAACCGTGAGGCTCATCATGGCGAAGACGCTGTAGGACGCCGCCGGGACCTTGAAATTGGGAACGGCGGCGGCGAGGGTGCGGTCCATTTGGAGTGCTTGGAAAACCACGTAGGTGTTCATCTGCGCCAGGACGATGTAGTAGAGTATGCCGGAAACCCAGATCGGGAACACTCTCACCACGCATTTCACCTCCTCCACTTGCTGGACGCTGCAAAGCCGCCACGAATCGCAGGCCGATCCGTCGGGTTTCACCTCGTCCTCTGGGGTTATGATGGCGGCTTTATTCAGGAACCTGAATTGATCGGTGTAAGGGAGTTTGGAGTTTATCGTCTTTGCGGGGAGATGATTGAACAGCTCGCTCCATGGCTGTTGAGGCAACGCCACTTTTCTCTTCTTCATGGCGGCAACTATTACCTGTAACGTTTTCCAATTATTAATATTTGGTAAGTGGTGTAGGTTTATTAAGTGGTCTGGTTGGACTGAATAATCAAACGCCTAATATAAACCTGAATTGATGAGATAACACATTCAGTTACGCAAGTGACTACTCAGTTCTGAGTCTAGTACGAGGCAAAACATGACTAACGGTTTACCATTAAGAGGTAACACAACAGGAATATCAACTGTGGCTAGAAATCAACACAGCACAACAGGAACATTAACTGTGGCTAGAGATCAACACGGCTATCGCTTCTGCCCATACGAGGTCAAATCCCTTCAGTATAGTTAGATTATTCTGTATCTAACACCCAATTCAACACCCTTGCTAGATAGTATTTATGAGGTGATTACATTAATTATGTAGTTACATTATTACCTGCAGCAGGCTTGTGAAGGGGCTTCCCTCGGGCACAACTTTGACGTAAATTTTGGTGCCGATGAAGAAGAAGACACAGGACAAGAGCATGAGGAACGCCGGAATGCCCAAACCAATCGCCCAGCTCACGCTGGACTGCACGTACACGATCACCGTCAAAGACACCATCATGGCGAAGGTGAAGGTGAAATAGTACCAGTTGAAGAAGCTGTTGATCCCTCTCCGCCCTGATTCGGTTCTGGGATTGAACTGGTCGGCCCCGAAAGCCAAGTTGCAGGGGCGTATGCCGCTAGCGCCCACCACCAAGAACGCGAACCCGTAGAGAAGAAACGCCATTTGCCACGGCGAAGCGTGGCTGCTGTTATTGCAACTGCCGCCGCCGCCGCCGCTTGAGTCGTCGCAGTCGTCATGAGGGTGCAGCTTTGAGATCGCTGCTGTTAGCGTTAATACCAACATCCCCTGTCACAATCAAAATTTCTAAAACATTAATATAGTTTAATATAGGGAAAATGACACTTTTTCCCCTATGTTATATACTTATAGCACTTTTTCCCCTTCAATTATTTAAGTGGCTCTTTTTCCCCCTGAAATGTTAAATGGACATATTTACCCTTAAAATAAATATTTCATTTATTTTTATTCTCCAATAAATTATTACTATAATTTGGTTCAAACCAGATACTATGGTAACCAAACCAAAATATTCCAATTACAATTTATAATCAAAACGCGATATTTAGAGTTTATTAAAATCACGAACTGGAATGGTCGGTTCATGTTCCAAACTGAAAAAATAAAATACATTTATAGTTGAATTTAAACTATTTTAAAATAAAAAATAAAATTTTAAAATAAAGACGGTTCAAAATCGCGAACGGGATCCGGAACTGCCGGTTCATGATCCAGTTTTTTTTTTTTTATTCTTAAATTTAATAAATTGAAATCCAAATATTGAATTCTAAATCTGAATCATAACTGAAAACTTTTAATTCGATTGCTATAGTGTCTGGTTCAGTTCGAACCGAACCGTGGTAATCGCTACATATACGCAATAATTTGTTGGAGAAGTAAAATAAATAAAATGTTTACTTTAAGGGTAGAAATGTCAATTTAATATATTAGGGGAGAAAACCACCACTTTTAAAATAATTGAGGGGGCTAATGCGCTTACATAAATAATTGAGGAGGAAAAAGTGCTATAAGTATATAACATAGGGGGAAAAAGTGCCATTTTCCCTTTAATATATGATTCTTAATAAGGTAGTATTCTATTCTATAATTTTTTTTTTTCTTAGTACTTATGCTAGCTGTAATTATATTACACACATCAATTATCAATTAGCTCAAGTGGCATAGTTGTGACTCTTCTAAATGAAAAGTCACAAGTTTGAATTCCAGTGGTAATGAAAATACTTTAACAATAGTCGTGGGTGGGCGACGTGATGAATTTTGACACTAAAACAATAGTCGTGGATGAAAAACGTGATAAATTTGAATTTTGACCCTAAAACAATAGTCGTGGATGAAAATTGGTAGGAATTAAACATGTGGACCAAAACTGTCATTTCGCAAATACTCATGTGACCAAAATTAGTATTTGCTGCATTTAGATAGTGATTGCAGGTTTCTCTCGCAGAACAAAGTAAAAAGAAAAAAAAAAGAGTTAATACCCAAAATCGTCCTCGACTATAGTGATTTTTCTCAATTTCGTCCTAAACGACTTTGGTGACCTAATATCGTCCCAGACTTTTGTGTTTCGCTCAATTTTGTCCTCCATTTGTTATTCCGTCAAATTGGTGTTAAATAAAAGGGACAATTCAGTAATGTCAATATTGATCTCTCTTTACTTTCAACTTGTGAAGTGGGAAATTCTTTTTTCTTGTACGAATTACACCCAGAATTACTCCTGGACCTGCGAATCAAATTTTATATTCGCAGTTTTAGGAGTAATTCTGGGAGTAATTCGTAAAAAAAAAAAAAAAGGATTCCGCAATTCACATGTCTATGAGTAAAGAGATGCCAATATTAAAATTACTAAATTGCCTATTTATTTAACACCAAATGGACAGAATAACAAATGAGGGATTAAATTGAGCAAAAACACAAAAGTCTGGGACTAAATTGAGCGAAACACAAAATTGTGAGACGATATTAGGTCACTAAAGTCGTTTAGGATGAAATTGAGAAAAACCACTATAGTCGAGGACAATTTTGGATATTAACTCAAAAAAAAACAACTCTTATACTAATTAATCTATGAACTCATCAATCTACTACATGGTTTTTGTATTATCTTGCAGAGTTGAATGCACGTTTTTTTTTTCAAATGAAATATTAAGATGGTTACGTTGAAAGGTAGACTTAAAAAAAAAAATATTTAAATAGAATGTTAATGTCAACAATAAAATATCAAATTAAACACGATATTGAAAACATAAATTAGAAAAATAAAATGGACTAAAAAAAAAAAAAAAGATAAGCAAAATTGACCGTACCGGTCAATTATATATGATGGCTAAATAATACTTCATTCACCCATTTGCTTTGTATTTTAATCATTGTTCATATATGAAATGGATTGTTTTTGGGGGGACCAAAAGTTATTGCTTTGGTAATCAGCATACGGGCTCCATGGATAAGATTTGCTGGTTTTAAATATACTACTTTCTCAAATATTTTTAGATCAAAAAATTAATAATCGTAATGCCATCACGTTATATGATTTTGGCAAAATCTTTTAAGTTTAATTTCTAAATTAAAGTATAATGGAAGTGAAGGAGATGGATGGGACATGTATATATAGTTACCAAGAAAGAAGAGACAGAAGCAATTCCGAGAGTCTTGTATCGACCCAGATATGTGTCGCAGAGGAAAGCTCCGAGGAGAGTACCAAAGTTGCATGTTCCATTAAATATATTTATGAGGTTTGTTGCTGTGATAGACTTCATATTGAACACTGTGGTCAGGTAAACCAGCAGGTTGGAGGAAGTCCCAATTGTCCCAAGCTTCTCAAACGTCTCATTTCCTGCATGTACATACACCATTCATTGCATATTAATTTTTAGTATTTATTCTACCTTGATGGAATATAATAAATTAATCTGGGTGGCTCGAATTAATCAAATCAATACTTAAAGAATGAACATGGTGAGGACAAGCTTAATTCGTATTAATGACTTAGGAAATGTGATTGCAAGATAATGAAAATATATAGGGGGTGTTTGGTAAATAATTGTTAGCTAACTAATAGCTGATTGTGTTATTGGATTTGACTAGTTGATAACATTAGTTGATTGAAGAAAGATGTTTGGTAAATTAGATGTTGTTGATAGCTGATTATAATTTACATGCAAAATGACTTTCTCAAAAAAACTGATGGAAAAAGTTGATTTGAACAGTTTTTTGAGTTTTAGCGTTCTGAAGCAATAAACTGTTATAAAAAAAACTAATTAACCAAGTCAAACAGTTTTAAAAAAAAAAACAAACAAAATTGACTGATAAGTTATGTTACCAAACAGAGTTATAATATAATATAATATAATTGAAGCTAAGTAGGTAGTAGGTGTACCTATAACAAAGGGCATGGCCTTGATTCCTCTATAATTTGGCTCATCATTTAGCTCTTCCTTGCTTTCCTCCTTCTTCTCTATATCCATGCCTGTTTTAGCTAGCAGCTTTCTCACTATATATTATTTCTCAATTCTGTGTTTTTATTGCTAACTACCAAATGAGCTTTTTGATATAAGCATGGTGTAGTATTGGAAGGTTTATATAGAGAAAATGTTGGCCTGGCCTGGGGGGATTGAGTCCATCTCCAATTTGGATGTTTGTGTATGCAATATAATATGCATGAGCTGTAAAATCCACTTTTACGTATATGCCCTTCCTTCCTTCTGCACTCAGTGTATATATATATATATATATATATATATATATATATATATATATATATATATATATATATATATATATATATATATATATATTACAATCATCATTTTCAACAACTATACTAGATAATTTGGTATTTTGGTATGTAGCTCCAATTTGTACACGCAATGTACAAATAAAATGATATACACAAAAACTGACATTTCTTCCGACCTACAGTAGTCTTTGTCGGAAGTGCTTGTACGCGGGTGCACAGCGTGTGGTGTGGAATGCGGATGATTGTGCGAACGTGTGAATAGATCACGATTATTGGATGAGTTTAAATTAACGGCTAAAATTCAATGAAAGGAAAAAATAGAATAGTGTTTTGGTAATTTTAATGATATGCTGGTGTATTTAGATATGCTTGGTGATGCTTTGAGTTCAATGCAGTGTCAAGCATTCACGTGTGCACCACAAACCAACACTTAGTGCACCACATGCCAGCATTTGGTGGTGCGGACTACTACTAAGTGCACCCCAGACCGGCACTTAGTATACCACAAAAATATATTTGGCGTAGAAAATTACCAAAATGTTACATCGTCTTTTTTATTTATTTATTTATTCATTTTCAGTCGTTGATTTGAGCTCATCCAACGACCCAAGATCAAGTGCAAAGAGGTGCTCAGGTAAAACATGCGGATAAATTTGAACCGTTAATCTATATAGATCAACAACTCCAAAAAAAAAAAATGTTACAGTTCTAATCTACAAAAAATTATACTCTAGAGCACAAAAATGTGCACTCGAAGACACAAAATGTACACTCAAAGACAAAAAATGTGAACTCGAAGGCACTAAAATGCTTACTCGACGGCCAAAATTGTGCGCTGGTCTAAAGTTGTGCACTATAAGGCACAAAATATGCACTTGAAGACAGAAAATTATGCACTCAAAAAGAATAAATTATGCACTCAATGGGAGAAAAGTATGTACTCGAAGAAAGAAAATAATACACCCAAATACAAAAAATTAAAAAAAAAATATGCATTTACAAAAAATTACAAAATTATCACTGTGTTATTTTAAAATTTCCCTTCATTTAGAATGATTGATTTAAACTAAATCAATAACTGAAATTTAACCATATATATATATATATATATATATATATATATATATATATATATATATATATATATATATATATATCAACACCTCTTTTCATGGACCGAAATTTAATCATATATTTTCTTTTTTACCTAATTAAACACCTCTTTTCATTATTTGATCTGTCATCTAAGTATAATAGTTTTAAATACGCCGTATGTTGAACTTCAAGGAATATTTAGTTCAAGTTATACATAATAACATATCAAGGTAATGTTAGATAATATAAGCTCGTTTCATTCAAGGTTATGGCGGTTGCAACAATTTTGAAGTTATCTTAAATAATTAATATAACCGCCTAAGGCTTTTTTTTTTTTTTTTTTTTTTTTTTTTTTTTTGTGATGAAAAAGGAGGGGATACCCAAGAATCATAAGTGTCTACTAAATGTTGCACCCAACATGTCTTGCTTAAGAAGATCTTCTATCTCGGGAGGTGCGTCCTTGAGCACTCGGCAACCAACAGGGTTTGTAAAGGCCGCCTTCGCCAGAAAGTCCGCCGCCATTGCATGTTTCCCTCACGTGGCACATGCACGTATTGTACGTGCGTAATCCCTTCGGCTTCCCTCAAGCACCTCCATATGATGTTGCACACTTTGGTACCTGTCCTTTGACTCATGTGAATCCTATCAATGAGTTGCTTTGAATCACTTTCTACCAAGAGCTTTTGTATGCCTTCGTTCCGTGCCAAGCGTAGACCGTGGAACACCCCCCAAGCTTCTGCTTCGAGCACTTTGGTTTGATTCAATGGATATTTTAAGTTAATATAACATTTTTATAAACTGCAAGAAATAAATTAAAAATAAAATTTAAAATCTCACATGTTTTTATAGTAAGTTCAAATTTCCTTGATAGAACCAAACAAGACAATATAATATTATTATATTAATTTACATTTCTAAGGCTATATAAGATATAAGATTATCTTACTAACTAATGATAGTTTTGAATCTTATTGGTAGTTTGAACTTATTATATATCAAGGTTGCAGTAGGCGCTAGGCGCTAGGCGCTAGTCGGGCGGCTGGGCAGCGCCTAGCGCCTAGGTGGTCTAGGCAGCGCCTAGGCGGAATCTAGGCGGCGCTAGGCGGGTACCAAAAAAATTAAAAAAAATAGTGGCAGACTTGTAGTTTGACAATTTTAATGAGGTTGTTTTCAACATTCACTCAAATAACACATCTAAATAAATAAAATAATGATAATTTATAAGTCATAACGTCATAATAATATTAAAATCAATAATTAATGAAAGACGACATCGGTCAAAATCGAACAAAATCGATCAAAAAGGTCAAAATCGGACGAAATCGGTCGACTCGGCCGAATTGGCCGAGTTGACCGACTCGACCGAGTTTGGCCGCTCAGGCCGCCTAGGCGGCCGACCGAGTTTTGGCCACCTTTAGGCCAAAACTCTAAGGCTCGGTGCAGCCTAGCGCCTAGGCGGCCGAGTTTTACAACCTTGTTACACACACACACACACACACACACACACACACACACACACACACACACACACATATATATATATATATATATATATATATATATATATATAAAGATTGGGATCAAATAAAAAAAGCTTTACGGGTAAAAAATGCGGATGATTTCTAGCCTTAGATGCAATCCAAATCAATAGCACAAATTGAATCTTAATTAAAAGCGCGCAATGACATTCATGTAATTTTGAGCAAATAAGTTAGCTTATGTTTTGTTTTTGAGTGCACATTTGTCCTTCTTCGCGTGCACATTTTCCCTTTTTTGGTGTAAACAACGGTCCAAAAATGCGGATGATTTCTAGCCTTAGATGCAATCCAAATCAATAGCACAAATTGAATCTTAATTAAAAGCGCGCAATGACATTCATGTAATTTTGAGCAAATAAGTTAGCTTATGTTTTGTTTTTGAGTGCACATTTGTCCTTCTTCGCGTGCACATTTTCCCTTTTTTGGTGTAAACAACGGTCCAGGTCCACCCGGTTCGCTCCGAGAGGCACAGAAGCTGGCCCAAAGGGAATCGTCACTTGTGGGGGGCACAGAAGCTGGCCCAAAGGGAATCGTCACTTGTGGGAATTGAACCCGGGTTATCCCAAAATTCTCCCCCACAAAGAGAGCTCATTTGCCACTTGAGCTACCCTATTGGGTTTTATTTTAGTACTTAGTTTCTATTTTGAGTGCACATTTTTGTGCCTTTGAGTGCAAATCTGTTGGCCTTCAAGTGCATGGTTTCTTTTCTAAGAGTACATAATTAATTTCCCCTTTTTCTTTTCCTTCGGTGTAGATTTTTTACCTTCAAGTGCACAGTTTTATGCCTTCAAGTGCATGTTTCTTTACCTGCAAGTGCACAAATTCTGGGCAATATTTGTTATATCTTGTGCATTCTTTTCGAACATATAACTAAATTTCTAATGAAATTTGTGAGATTTACAAACGATTTGTAAGGGTAATTGGTTTAATAACACTTATGCCTAAAGTGAGCAGATCTCTTGTGTGTAATGGCATTTGGCACTGTCTGATGAGTCATTGAGTCACCGTCATTTATATCCTCCCAAATGCTCTGTTGGCCCGAAGTGTGGAGGCCATTTGGGTTGGGAACTCAACCTTTTAGGAGAACGATAAATTTAGAGTTAATTCCATTTTTGGTCCTAATTTATAGGTGGTAGTTCATTTTTAGTCATTTTTTTATTAGAACATCCACATTTTGTTCTAGTATTATTGTGGAATGACCATTATTGATCATTTATTATCAAAACAATTTTAATGTCGCTAAATACAAAAACATTTCGATTTTCAAATACGTATTTTTTCAAAAAAATAAATTTAAAAATATAACAGGATTAACCCACTTTGTATAAAAATGATCAAAATGCCTTTGTATTTAACGACATTAAAAATTGTTTTGCTAATAAATGATCAATAATGGTCATGCCACAATAATACTATGATCAAATGTGGATATTATAATAAAAATAATAAAAAATTAAAAGTAAACTATCACCCAGATACAAATAAAATTGAGTTTATCTAAATAAAACTGAAGGTACTAATAATGATTTGAGTATTTGACCATATAATAATTAAATTATAAGAAATAATTTGTATCTCTCTCTAGAATCTCTCTAGGGTTTTTGCCTCCATACTAGGGTTTCCTAAGGTTTTTGCTACGATATTTGCTTACCGGCGAATGTCGGTGATTGAACATCAACTAACAGCTTTCCGATGGCGACAAAGCAACCAGAGCCAGATGTGCAGCCGAACGCGGGGGAGGATGTGGTCGCTGTGGTGACTGAACAGTGGGCAAAATGGTCGTTGGAGGAGGAGGAAACGGCCTTTGCGCCGGTGGGAGACGAGGTGGAGCAAGCCGAGGAGGAGGTGGAAGAGACATGGAAGGTGGTAGGGAGGTTCCTAACACAGAAGATGGTGAAACTGGAGTTTATGCGTCAGGTTTTAGCATCCGTATGGCAACCGGTTAGAGGGGTTCAGGTTACGGAGATCCAAAGGGGTGTGTTCTTGTTCGTTTTCTTTCATAGAACGGACGTGGATTATGTTTTGGATGGGGGACCTTGGGCTTTTGAGAACAACGCCTTGGTTTGCAGGGAGGTACCGCCGAATACTTCTCCGGGGGAGGTCCCGTTGAACACAATTGATATGTGGGTACAGTTACATGATATGCCATTAGGATATACGTCTCAAACGGTGTTGGAACAAGCTGGAAATTTCATAGGAA